TTCTACCTGAACACTACAGCAGTCACCAGAGGGGTGTGGAGATGCTCGCTGCAGGCTCCTGTCTCCTCCTCTTCTCCACTTGCTCAGAACGTAGTCAGGAGGATGCAGAGGCAAATAGTGGACCAGTAACAATTTGGGATCTTGATACCATGCTGTGGGTATAAGAGCAATCTTGCCCTTACTAGTATTAATTAATGAAATATATTTTCACCTTGGAGACATTGTTGAGTCTGAGGTGCATAGTTCAGTGGTGGTATCGGCCTGAATAAAACTGGTCGCAGATGCAGGATAATGTTTTGAGAAGAGCTATACAAAACAGACTTGAGTGATGTAAAACCTATAGGTTTAAACTTGTCTATGTGGCCTGTTTTGGTCTATGTAGCTTACTGAAGAGAAACAGAAGGGAAGGTTAGATCCTCATCTTTTGAGATCTGAATGAAGAGATACTACTAATTAGCACTCTTAGTATAGCAACCACATAAAAACTGGGGAAAAAAAAAAACCTGGAAATGGAGTTAAAATATTAACAGTGAAGGTGATTAGCTATCAGAATGTTTTCTGAAATAAAACCCAGTTCTCTTCCTGCTCAAGTTGCTCAGTGTAGTGCAGGAGGAACTGGTTGGAATCCAGTGGTGTCAGTAACTGAGGAGGGTGGGACAAGGGTCTATAATGGGCTTTCTGGTCTTCAACAGGTTCTGCTTTAGCAAACCGCAAGCGAATAAGAGGGGTTTGCAGGGCAGGACTGTGCCAGTTCGGACCACTGGTCCGTTCAGTTCAGTTTCCTATTTCTGGGATCAGCCAGAGGAACCCCTAAAGCTTCCCCCCGTGGGTGGTTGTGCCATCATTGCCCAGCGCAGGAAGGTGCTTCCTGTGCCCAAGCAGTTAGTGGCTGGTTTGCGTCATGGAGTGTGACACTTCCCAGCAACGTCTTACCGTCTATTTCTGTTACCAGATTTAGTTGTGAAACTGCTTAAACACCACCACTAGGGTCTTTGCCCCAGGAAAGCTGTGCATCATAAAAATTCCCCCATCATCTAAACTAGGTTAGTGATGCATAGCTCCTTTTTTTTTTTTTCCTTCAATTTTAAGTAGGTAATTACACTTTTTCTTCATTTATTTGCTGCACTTGGAGAGCTTTGCATCTCTTCATTTTGTTTCTGTCTGTGAGGTGTCTCTTACAAGAATGCCTTTCTGGTTATGTCCTTCAGAAGCCATCTCACAACTTCTTGCTTTCTGTTGTATTATTTCAGCATCTCCTTTGTGATCCCCTGCTGTCAGGGTGAAATCCCTTTCCCTTGCCAGGCACAAAAGAAAGGAGAGCCTCACGTTTTCTTCATTTCCTTGGAAGACAGAAGAACTGGAATAATCTCTGTGTGCAAATTCCCAGAGCTTTCATGCTTTTCCCCGAGTTGCGCTTACAAGCAGGTGAGGGAGGTGTATGTACTCACACACACACAAGTTACTGCAGATATCACTGTTGTGGGGTTCTCCTGAAACGGGCACAGATAGAAGCCTTTTATCATGCCCCTGGTAGGTGCATTAGCAGGACATTTGCTTTTTCCTTTGGGTTTTTTTTTATCTTTCTCCAGACAACCTATCACTGCCTAGGATTGTAATGAATAGGAACAAAATCTTGTATCCTGTCTTTGCACATGCTCTTGAAGTGCCTGTCCCTCTCCTCTGTGGATGGTACAAATCAGACCTGCCTACAATTAAAAAAAAATAGTGTCTTCAGCGAGTGCGTGCCCATGCATGGCACTATGTGTGTAGGTGGGTGCATGTGCTGTCCTTGCTGCCACAGTAGGAAAGCACCTGGAGGCAAATTTTCTCCAAGCCATTTAAGTTGTTTTACTAATGTGGACTGGTTTTGAGATGCAGTGGTCACAAGCCACCCCTCTGCAGGGTGAAGAGCTCTGCTCAGACCCATGCATAGCTCCCAGGTGCTCTCCCAGAGAAACAAAACTATGGAACAGCTGGCCCTGGAAGTTAAAACTTCTACAGCATCTGCACCGTCAAAAGACCCGCAGCAGAAGCAGCTTTCACTGTGCTGTGCTTTTGTTAATCCTCTGGAGACCTCCAGTGATATTGCTGTGCTCTTTGAAGGATTTATATGATGGATTGACTGCATCTCCTGGATCTGAAAGGCAGAAAGGCACAGAGCTATCATAAACGTGGTGTTTGGCTGAGGTGTGAACCAGCGCGCTTGAGCTCACTTACTCCTCAGTGTCGTGGCTCCCCCAGGGCTGCTGGAGCTGTAGACGCTTACGTCATTTGAGAATCTGTCCCAAATGCTTAATAACAACCGATCATCCCTGTTTCCGGATGTTTTCTTTCGCACCTCCTGCTTTGTGAGGACTTACTGCTACTAGAAATTTTGCCGCAATGTGTTTCTGGAATGCGGATCTGAGAATGCGTTTTGTACATTTATGGCTGGCAATAAATTTCATAACATTTGAAACCACTGGTTTAGCCAGCTTTCCCAGTTTGAGATCAGCTATTTCACCTTTGTGTCTACTGTGTAGTTTTAAATGTGTTACCTGATCAACTCCTCTGGAGCAGCTCTGTGACTAAATGTGGAAAAATGCATCAGCAGCCTACAGACCTGTTGCAAAACACATCCTCCCATCATAAGGCCTGACATTTCTTTTCAGACTGTTTCAGCTTTTAATATTTAATATTGCAATCATCCGTTTTCTATCATGTTCTCTTTATTTAATGAGTTGTTGAAAATATTTACTTTCTTCTCCAAACATGTCTGTCTTGTAACCCTTCTGGAGGCATCTGGAACTGAAGTCTTTGATACTCTGTTTATCTGATTTTAGCTCATTCAAAATTTCTATCGGAGAAATCTGGAAATCATTAAGATAATTTATGTTCTCCATCTAAAGCCATTAAAATAGTAATGATTGTAATTCTCTAGGCTCTGTGTATGTGTGTGGTTGGTTTTTAAACTTTGTTGTTTCCAGGATGTTCTAATAACCTTGGCTCTCCTTCTGCCTTGATGTGGAAGGACTATTGCTGCATTACATTTGATTATCTTATTTTGGCTTGATACTGGGAAGACAGAAATGAAAAAGCTTATTGAAATTGGTAGAAAATATCAAGAGAGAGAGAATTTGAGACAGAGTGACAAGACTTGGGTTCAGTTTCCTTTTCTGCTGCAAGTGATTTGATTTCTCTATCTCAGTTTTTTGTCTGAAAATCAGGGATAACTCTCTTTTTCCTCCTGTCCTTTTGAGTGCTCAGTCTAATATCTCCAAAATAGAGGATGTCTTTGATGTATTATCAACAAAAACTGACCCCAGAACTTAGACATAGGGTCAAGGAATCTTAATTTTTTGTTAAGATGAATGGCACTGCTGGGAAGTCAGTACTTCTTTGGAATTTGATGGTGCATCTAACAAATGTCTCTCTGGTTCAGGTTTATTTGGTAAATTTATTCCCAGACAAATGCGTGTTAGTACAACATTTTAACAACTGTTAAATTATATACTGAGGATTTTGGAGTAGCTGACACCAGCAAAATGTTCTGGCATGAGAGAGAATTTTAACCTTTGATAGAAATGTCAGCTTCTGTCAAGATCATGAAATACTTGTTTAATCGTCTACAAGATTTTTGTTCATTTTCAGTTAAAAAAATACACGACAGAACCTGCTAAATTTCTCTGTCCCACATGGTTAAGACAAAACCTTTGCATGCAGTGAAAGTTGTATAACTAACTATAATCAACTTGGAAAATACAGATATGAGAAAATAAATGAACTGGGACCCAAGCCATCTAATTTACTGCCAGAATTGCTCTGAACTAAAACAAAAAAACAAATATACTTATCTCTGTAGCTTAATTAATTAAAACTTTAAAAAGTAACTGAGACCATCTGTATTGTGATTTCATGAACAAAGCAAAGTGCTCTAAGCAGAGGGAGGGAACACTGTATCCAGATGATCTATCTCTCAGCAAATGCTGTCATATTTTTTTTGTAATGTGGCTGGATATAAGTCTAGGAACACAAAGCATAAATTTTGTCACTGAAACCATTATAATTTTAAGCTTAAGAAAAGTGTAAGCAGTGTTCTAGTCTCTTATGACTTTCATTTCAAAATACAGTATTTAAGCTCAAACTGAACTGGAGTCTCTAAGTTATGTGTCTATATACTTTGGCATTGGCTATGATACCACCTTGCCTACAAAACAGCAATCTGTAAATAGCGTACTCTCTTCTGCACAATAGGCAGTGATTAATTGCTTTGTATTTGTCTTCAGATAGGGAAAAAAAATCTATGAATGTTTGCATATTGATAAATGGGGAAAAAAAAGATAATGGCCATAGACTATCATGGGTTACTTGGTCTCACTGTGAAAAGCATGGTCTCTTTTTAATGATAGAAGTACAAAATATGTAGAATTGCATTATTACTGTTGTATTCTCAATACCTGTATGTAGCCCTTTTTTTCTAGATAAGTCGCTCAACCTCATGGTGCAAAGGCAGCTGCTTGTGACAGACAATTACCATTTGTTTATGTGCTCACGTTAATGGTTCCAGCTAAACAATTCTGGGGAAAGAAATTACTACCATGAACTGAATTTTCGCGGATACAGAAAAACTGGAAAGCGGGGCAGTTACTGCTATTTTGGTTTCTTCACCAAGAGTAGCGAATAAATTCAGTATGGACATTTTGAGATAAAAGACTTCTGCCTGCACAAACTGCCACTGAGGCTTAGATACCATTGTTGGAAAGCTTAGAGCAAATGAAGCAGCTGTTTCAGCCCAGTTTAAACATGGTGAACAAGAGTAAAGCATATTAACTCCAGCTGTGTACTGATAACAGCTGGGAAGGAAAATCACTGCAAGGGACCTTTAAAGTAAACTTTGAATTCTAGCAGGCTTAGCTATTGTGACTGCGCCTCTGAGGGAGGAGTGGCGCTGAAAATTTAATCCATAGAAACATAGAGAATGTAATGATGAATTCCTGTGCCTCTTTTTGTGCTTCAGGTTCTGGATTAGGTGGCATCGCCTTTGAAGATTTTTGCTGCGGATCTTGTACTGTACTTACACTCATGGGCAATTTTGAGATCAGGGCAAGTATCATAGAATCACAGAATAATTAGAGCTTGAAAGGACATTACAGATCATCGAGTTCCAAACCCCCTGCCGTGGGCAGGGACACCTTCCACTAGAGCAGGTTGCTCAAAGCTCTGTCCAGCCTGGTCTTGAACACTTCCAGGGATGGGGCACCCACAACTTCCCTGGGCAGCCTGTTCCAGTGTCTCACCACCCTCACAGTAAAGAATTCCTTCCTAATATCTAATTGAAATCTACCCTCTTTCAGTTTAAAACCATTACCGCTCCTCCAATCACTACGCTCCCTGATAAGTACTGGGTGATGGATTCTGTGCAGAGGAATGGTGTCCATTTTAAAGCAAGATATTGCACCCCTGCCCTGTCTGCTTAGAGACTATGCTGTAATATCTTCAGTAGTGTTCTGTTTTCCAGAATAACGTTCCAGTATTCAGGCTACTTCTGAGTTTTTTATATTTGAGTCACTTGCGTTTTGTTCATTTGGTCTATAGAGCACAAAGTGCAATATAAAACTAGAGGAAATAATTAATGCCACTTAGTGGTAAAACCAGCAAAAATTACTCAGAGTAATTGCATTAAACCAATATTCCCTTAAGTCCTTGTTGCAGTAGAATAATGGTTTACTTAGGTTTACTTCTAATTAGAATTTCCTTCTAATCAGTATTTCGTGATAGCTCATGATTCTGGAACAGTTGTGTAATTGTAATAATAAACCTTGATTGTATTTTACACTAGTATTTTAAAAATAACAAGTTAATTCAAGGCTTGCTCATGAAGACACATGCTCTCAGTGACTTTGCAAAAGCCCTAAGTTAAAACAGAAATAGCAGTGCTGAGGTCCTGTAGAGTGCAAAAGAGCAGGTCAGTAAATACATGCTGTGTTTGGTCGCTATTTGCAAATTGATACATCTATTGATAACTTTCAGTTGCACCCTACCCTTGGAAATAAAATGGCAAGACCAGAAAGCACATGTTTTCTAAGTTACATGAAGTTGTCTGTAGCTTAATATTGCTACTTGGCATTCATCAGAATTTCGAGGGGCTTTGAATGAAAGAAAAGTTTGGGGGATATTTGCGTTATTTCCACAGTATTTGTGTGGTTGCCTAGCTTCCTTTGAATACACATACAAAGAAAATGACAGCACTGTTCAAGCTGCAGGTGGGAATGACTTCTGTGCTGGAGCACGGAAACTTTCAGCAATTTCTTATGATTGAGATAACTGAGATAACATGTCCATTTTTGTGTAATTGTTATCTTCTCTCTGTACTTTCTCCCTTTCTCTTACTTGTTGTCTTCCCTATCCCTTCAGCTCATGTTCATGTTCTGTTTGGTGTCTTCTAAGCTCTGTGGAGCTGGAATCACGTCTTGGGTACGTTTTACAGAGAACCTTGTGTACTTTAGGTACATGTAAAGGACTAGACTTAGCCAAAATTTTGGACAGGAGGCAATGCAGCTGTCTGTCCCTCTGAAAAGGGAACATAAGGATATGAATAAAGACATTTAAATGAGGCCAGTTAGTATTGTCATAAAGTTCCTTTAATGTTAACCATCTGTTATAGACTTGTTCTCATTCTTTAGTAGATTACATGCCTCTTATTTTGCTGAAAGTCAGCATGCTCTATTTCTGTATGCATAGCAGACAATTATATAATAAAACAGGTCTTTGGTTTCATGTGTATACAATTATGAGAAAGCAGTAGCTCCTCAAAGAAGGCAATTTTGGCATCATTCATAAAGAGTGTTTTCAAATGTAAAGTATGGAGTATGTTGAGAGAAAAATGTAAACGCGTACAGATGTATGTGAAAAGAGTACATGAGTGAAAGAGGATAGGAGAAACACAAACAAATGACTTGACAAGACAACATCAAAACGGCAGTAAAGCTGAGTAAGCTCCAAAGCCCAGTGGCACACACAAATATGAGGAGAATTTTAATGTTCATGAAAGACAGGGACCTGTTTGAGTGGGTCACTGAAAGTACTTGGATGCTGTAGGTTAAAATGATTTTCTCTTTCCCTGTTCTTTTATATAGAAAAGAATTTGTCCCAGTGAGGGAAATCTGATAGCTCTAATCCTTTCATCATGGAAGTAACTTTCTCATTGACCCTGGGATTGTGTCCAAGAAGCAATCATGTATTAAATAACTGATAATATTGCATTTTGATTTCAGTTATTCCCATCTAATATAATTTGGTTTGCTGTGTTTTTCAGGTTTGATTGCTACACTGGATCCTTGATTGTGGTCACCTCTAAACTGCAGCACTGAAAACAATGGCAACAGAATGTATAAAAAACTGCTGTAAATGGTGTTTCTGCGTGGAAAAAGAAAAAAATGATCGTGAGTTCTGACATAATGACATAGACTAAGGGTTTTGTTGTTCTGGCTTCATTAATAATGAGATTTCCCATTAATAAAATGACTGTGTCACCCCTGATAAACTTGAATTCTTTTACAACATCCAAAATTCTTTCCATGCCTCCACTTGGAGATTGAACACATGCTTGTTAGTGTTATGAATTGGAATTGGAACTGAAAAATAACACTTGTCTGGAGTCTGCTCTTTGCAGCCTGGAATGCTGTCCAAAAAAGCCAACTTTTTTACCCAAGGTTGTGTAAATGTCTTGTATCTTTCAAACTCTAAGAGTGAACACTTTTTTAAACTCCCTGTGGATTTGCTGTTAGGATTTTCTTTGGCATCTTAGTTGTTTGAAGAACTCTTCTATAATGCAAATGTACCTCTTGCAGAAATTCACTTAAGAGTAAGATAACTATAAATATAGAAGCTTGGGCGACAAAGAGTTTGGATCAGTACAGGTGTCATGAGGATGAATGTCTTTTCCAGGTACTAGTCCTGAGTACTGGTAAAACTGAATACTAGCAGACATCAAGCAATGTATCAAGCACAGATCCTATTAAATAAAAGAGATCTGTTCATAGTATTGTTCAAAACTTAATGCACATGTGGACTGTCTGTTTCTTTTGCTCTTTATTTTTAGCAGTTTCCATGGTGCAGGAATCTGAAGCAGTAGCCGCAAGCAAGCCAACTATTGTAGAGAAGCCTCCATTGTCTTCTGTGTCAGTGAAGCGTCAAGTTGGCTGTTCAGAGGACTATCTGCGTTCTAAACTGCCCCTGGATGGTCAGGAGGTACCATTTGTGGTCCCTCCATTCAAATTGGCTTATGTACAGCCGAAGAACCTTCCCAGTATCTCACATGCTGGAGGGATTCAAGGTAAAACATTAACAGCACTGCTGAAACAGTTGTTTGGTTTCTGCTGCTCCTTGAAAGTTGTTGCGTAGTCCTACGGAAAGCATGTATTTGCAGAACTTTTCTAGAAGCCCGATCTTGTCTCCTTTCTCTCTGGAGGAAACAGAAGCTTTAGTAAAGAATTTATTGGAGGGAAGGAAAGACCTAACGTGTCCCCAGCATCTACATTGCTCAAATAAAGAAGGAGGCTGGTCTGTCTTTCCTGTTTAGTGTACTGATACATTTAAACTACTAACACATTTTCCTTTTCAAATTTTGCTAATAGATAGGGTGTGCTGCTACATGGTGACTTTTTTTCACCCTGCTATCTCCTGCTCTTTGGGAGGTGTCACAGATCATATGGTTGCACATCATACTACGAGTGTTTGATGCACAACAATCTTGTGCTTCCACCTCTGCCAGTTAGTCCCATTCTCAGACTGCCAAAATGATGTACATGCAATTTAGGCACAGCGGCATTTTAACAGAATAGGAGCCTGGCCCAGTACCATGAGTTACAGGGCATGTGCTGTCACTAGGCTCTTGGGCCTGCCAGGAGATGCCTGGAATTAGGTAAGGGAAGATTTTGGCACAGGGACATACCTGAATGGTTGTTTTCTTTATAGAGTTGCTTTGCTTCAAGACTGTGATAAGCTGATAATACGCTTTTAGTCCCATGTTACTGTATTTCTTTTCTGAGGATGGAAACCCTTATAACTGAAAAAAGTCAACCACATGTTACATAATGGCTAATGCAGTACTACCTACTCATTTTGTGTTTGTGTCGTTTTACTCCCACCCTTCTCTCTTCTCCCCAGGTCCTGCCGTTGCATTTTTTTCTCCTCCTGCATGCCTATTGCCAAACTTCCTCCTCACCCACCCCTGCTGGTAACACTAGTGCCAAGCTAATCAGCCGAGCAGGGCTTTTCAGTATAGATTGGCCATTTTGTGGCCCATCTTTTTAGTGGGCTTTATCTGTGATGTCTGCCTCACCAGGCATGGACAGACAACCTAATAGTTGGAGGTAGAACATGTGAGGCCCCCCTCATCTCTGAGCCTCCTCGCCTTTAGCCTCTTTGTTTCCCTGCTACTTCAGTAGCTAGTTCTTGTAAGTCTATACTTGAGCAAGGTATGGAAATGCAGGACATGCTCCTGGTAATCCCCTTGCTCACTAGGTCTGGGTTCAGGCTCTGCCTTGCTTTGTCCTGGCTTATCCTCAAGCCACTGTACAGAGAAGTCCATCAAGGACTCTGAGGCATGAATGTTCTCCAGGGAGAGGGAAGACGTGTCTAACAACCTTTAGATAATGTTTTCTTTGTTCATGCTGTTCTGTACAAGCTTATCAGTCAGTGACTTATAAACCAATGACTTGTCTTCATTGGGAATTCTGCTTCATCATTTCTGAAGGACCTGGTGAACAGAGTGGCCCTTAGGCTATAAAGCTGGTAGATCTTCTGGCAGGATGACCTGACTCTTCATAATTGTCTCTCTTGAGCAAATATTTTAAATTCTTGAACAAATATTTGAGAAGTGGCTCTTACGTTAAGTAGGCAACTTCCATTTCTCTTTTCAAATATAAATACTTATTTTTGTAAAGTGCAGCTTTTAAGCCTCATTAATGTTGTGTTTAAAAATGCTAAGTTTACTTTTTAGGGAGATTTACTAAATACAGTGAAGTGTGCTGTCATTCCTTCTTCACATTAGCCAAAGCACCAGCATATTAAAAAATTGCATCTAGAGTATTTGCTTCTTAGACCGTTGTTAAATATCTGTAGAGTCCAAGTTCTGCTCTCAGTTCCACTCCATTTTCTGTGTGTGTCTGACCATTTTCCTGTAGTGAAACAGACGTGCTCAGTGTTAGCTCTTGGCATCCCTTCTGAAAGCAATTAAGTTCTGGCAGCCTTTCTTTTCAGTCCTCGCTGCAGCATGTCTCATGCTCTCACAGAAGTAAGCTAGCAGGAAGAAGTGTGCTCCTGGTCTGGAACACTGGCTTTTCCATCATCTGCTGTGTATCAGTTCTTTATGGCCTCACTTCTAGCGTTAATCCCAATTTACGTCATGCTCAAGCCCATTATACTTGAATTCTTGGTTTATTGTCTCTTACGTTCCATCTCACTGTTTTAGTTATTCTGTTTTACTTACTCTACTAACACCTGGAGGGAAGGATTTTACAGCAATTATAGTTTGCCTTTTATGGTGCAACACACTTGCAGAATTGAGGGCACTTTATAATGGGGTAAAGAAATTCTTAACAGATAGTTTGAAGTCCAGGAAGGTGAAGTGAAGCAAGCGATCATCAGAGCTTGGCAGAGCCTAGGTCGTCCCGTCCCCATTCTCTACTGTACTGTTACATATGGCTTATTTTTTCTCCAGACAGACAAAATGAAGCACTACAGCAGTGTTCTTGTTCTGCTGACCAAGACGTGCATGTTTTTTCTTAAATTATTATGAATAAAGGAAAGAAAAATAGGACAGCTGTGCTGTAATGGGCTGAGTAAAGGGCTGGGAGTCAGGCATTCTCAGATCTGTCTACTTGTGCTTCAGCCAACAATTCAAGTCATTTTGGACCAGTGATTTTAGCACTGACAGACTTCCTATGGAAATTGGATGACAAGGAGGCTGCAGTCACAAGTTGCGTTATCTTTCTATACAAAACCCCCTCCTGAAGGTCTGGGGGTCCGTTAGCTGAGTGGGAACGTCATGGGGGTCGGTAGCCAAATAAGTCAGACGTTTTCTGGACACATGGTCCTGCTTTTCCTGTTAATTTCTCTCTTGCTGTCTGTCTTTGGAGCCTTCTGTATTTTAACTAGTTAGGCATTTATTGTGGAACTCCAAGAAAGGGTATGCATAGCTTTTATGTCCAATTTAATTCCAATGTTTGTTAGCACACTGTGGAAATCTGACATAATGTGTATGTGTGTTTTCTTTACTTTTTCTCTTTTTTCCCCCTTTTCCTGAAGCAGATAATGTTGAAATATTTTGTCCTTTACCCTGAAGGCACTCTGCCTGCCTTATGAAGCCAGGCAGCGTTTGTTATGTCTGGAACTCTTGTATTTGATGTTTACTTGTGCTCTGCAGAATCTGCCAGAGCCTCGTTTGGTGACCGGAAAGCAGAACTGCACGGCGTGTACCAATGGCCCCGCTATGACGTGTACAACCCCTTCTATTTGGAGCATCGGGTCTCGCCAGATCTGATTAGGCGCTTCCAAGCAAAATCAGATAATAGGAAATTATATGGATCAGGTGAGGACTGCACCCTTACTTTTCTGTCTTCCCCCCCTTCCCAAGGTTTATAGGTAAGAGAAGAAAACCTTATAGTGGCCTTTCAATATCTGAAGGGTGCCTATAGAAGAGCTGGGGAGGGACTTTTTGCCAGGAAGGGTAATGATAGGACAAGGGGAAACGGTTTTAAATTGGAAGAAAAAAGATTCAGATTAGATCTCAGGAAGAAATTTTTTACTATGAGGGTGGTGAGACACTGGAACAGGTTGCCCAGGGAAGTTGTGGATGCCCCATCCCTGGAGGTGTTCAAGGCCAGGCTGGGTGTGGCCTTGAGCAACCTGCTCTAGTGGGAGGTGTCCCTGCCCATGGCAGGGGGGTTGGAACTCAATGATCTTTAAGGTCCCTTCCAACCCTAACCATTCTATGATTCTATGATTAGTCTACAGAAGATGTGTTTGATTATAGCAGTTCTCAAACAGGTCTGTATGCTGGTCTGTTGGTGAACTGGTCTGTGGAGCCAGCTCTGCTTCATTTCCAGCTGCATCATTACTTTCTGTCTTTTGGGGGCTTAACAAGGCTTGCACGCATCACATGAAGGTAGACAAATTGGCAAAGCAAGGTAGTGTAGTTGCCTCCGGTCCAAAACAGAGTGCAGTACTGAAGATTCCAGCTACCAGTAATAGGAGTGAGGGAGACGGAAAAAGGAAGTCAGGCAGTATGTTGAGTGGAGGAATGCCCAAGGAGTATCTATACAGAGAAGGAACAAGCACCAAAAAACATTCAGGAGCAGGTGATAAGAACAGGGAAGTGATGCTATATGCCAGCTTTTTCATAGTTTGCTTTTGAAGGTGCCAAAATGTCCCCACTTCTCATTGCATAAATGTGTTTAACAACGGGGGAGGGCTGTGAGATAGTAAAAGTTTAAATAGTGCTTGGCTACCAAGGTAAGAAACTTTCTCCTGTGCCCGTCATTGGTGTATGTATCCTATAATGAATGCTGGTTAGAGTAAAGTAGATGACTTAAGTGTTGCTTCCTGTAAGTGATTGCTAAGGCAAACACATTCAGAAAACTCATACACTCAAAGAAATGTACACACCTCTTTATCACATCGGAAGCTGGCAACACATGCATTTTTAAAGATGTTTTATTTAGAACGGTATAGCATGCTTATTTTACAGCTGGGGGAAACGTCTCAGACTGTGTCCTGTTTTAAAAATAATTCTGAATCACCATAGAGACAACATGAAAAGACTACTCCATTATTATTTTTTTAAGAGAACGAAACACACTTAGAATTATAGCAGCCTTTAACGCATATGGTTTTCCTAGGCTTTGTAAGCACCTGTGGTGGGAGCCAAATGGGTTTTACAAAACTGTATTGAACATCTTCCCTTCAGTTCATCATCTCTTTTTCCATTTTTCTTCAAGCTAAGTAAACACTTCACTAGTTTTGCCTTAGTAAGCTTAAATGCAAGAAAGGTCACTTAGAAGTCTACTCTAGACAGGCTTAAAATGCCTCCTTCCTCCAGAGTTTTTGACAGCTGTTTCAAAAGCTAGATGTTTCTCTTCCGTGTGCACCTATAGACTATTTAAGAAAAACTCGAAACCTATTTTGTTGCAGCTAGAGCTATGATACTTCTCATGTGCGTGGGCTTAGAGCTACAGAGTGTGTTTATTTGGAAAGTATGAAACGAAATTCTTGAATTTTCCTGTGAAGTCCCTCCTCTTCATTTAAAGAAAAAACAACCAAAACCCAACAGCAAACTGAAAAAGAAATTGATTAATATTTTCCCAAAAGTCTAGTTATTATTGGTAAACAACATATGTTTATGGTTAATTTTTTTCTGCTTGTTATATTTTGTGCACAACTTTCTCAGTATAAAAGTAGTCATTTTTTTCCATTAAAAATTTAAGATTTTGAAAAAGGAACTGTCTTTCCTCTCCACCCACCCCCTTGTTCTTTGAAAACTTTAACCAGCTTTACTAAAAATAGCAGATCATACTGATTTTGAAGTGTTTTGGTGATTTGTAACTTGTAGGCTTGAGTGGAAGTTTCCCCCTAGTTTGTGAAAATGGTGAGTAGTGAATATAGAATTAATTTCCACAGCCATAATCAGTTTCAAATCAAGTAATGGGCTGGTCTCTCACGTTATATCAAACAAGGTTTCTAGGCCTTGTATGATATCATAACAAGGCTTTTCTGTTTTGCTAAGGCATCTACTTTAAAAAAAAAACAACAAAAAAACCCCAAACATTTTTCTTGAGGAAATAACTTTGAGGCAGGCTCCCCATTCTACCAGTGCTACCAATGTGACTGGGCAAGTTTGAACTATTTCAAAGATGGGATTAAGATATTTTAATGGCTTGTTGTCTCCATTTTGTCATTTCAGCAGAGTGGTTTGGGAAAGGGAATTGGGAATGGTGCTGACATCTTTCCTTAGATGACTTAGCTGGGTTTCAATCCTGCCATAGGTCTACATAAATTTTAAAAAAGCTTCTTAGTGTTTGTTTTTTTCTTTGTTTTTTTTGCAGTGATGCTTACATGATTTGTATTGTTCTTTTTGTCTTTTTAGTTAGTGATTTAAGATCTAGCACTTTGCCTGGATCATTTGATGTAAGTCGTTCAATGTTTGATCTCAGAAGCCCACCTCATCGATTCATGAAGGTGAGTTCTCCTTGTAATTTAGGTTATACTGAAAACTCAGCTTGGTTTATCTGTTCCTGATGCATTGTGTTTTCAAAGTAAACACTGAAGGGCATTGTACTATGCACAAGAAGGGCTAGAGGGAAAAGTTCAACATCTTGACCACTTCAAGAGGCTCTTTTCTCGATTAGTGCTCTTCTGGCCCAACGCGACTGCTGAGAAACTCGAGTAGACTGCTAGGCAGGATAGACAGACAAGAGGTTGTCATTTGTCATCTTGTGATTTCTCCCATCAGTTGAAAAGTGGCACGCTGGAAGTTTCTGTTGATGCTGTTGATGCAAAAAAAAAAAAAAAGCATTTTTTTGTCTTCCCTCCTCCCCCCTCCCCCCCCAAATAATCATCTGTTACACAGAGATGAAGTTCCATACATATCAGTGAGCAAAAAATTCTGTGCTGGCCATATGTGTCCTGTATTAGCTTTTCGCGTCAAAGTAGTAATTCCATGCTGCTGGATCAAGAGATTAGTAGGGAATGGGACAATTATTTGAAATTGGATGTTGGTGGTTTTTTTTCATCATGTCTTGTCTGATGGTAGAATCTCTCTGGCTTTTTGCATCTGTTGCTCTGAATGCAGTGACATATTTTTTTTTTTGCCCCCAGAGATACGATTCATTCTCCAGTGTACCTAGCAGTACTTCTTCCAGAAAGGATTCACAAGGCAGTAACAGGAGTCTAGGTAATGTTTTGTTTGTTTACCTTGTAATGAAATATTTCCTTTTGCACTCAAAACACTAAGCTGTCTCTACTGTTGATAATTTTATTTTTTTATTTTTTTGAGATTAATCTGATTAGCAAGTCACTTTGGAGATTACTTTGCAGTTTGAAATAAAGAATTTTGGACTTGCACTTCCCTGTTGTCAGCAGATTGAGAAAATGAGCCTTTGAGGAGTTCTTATGCTTTTGAAAAATTCATCCCTGGATTTACTACCCCAGTGAACTAAGAAATTACAGATGTTCTGTTAGGATAGAATGTAGCACCTTTGTCAAAGCTCTAGTCCTTTTTCACCTATCAGTATTTTTTTGTGAGAAGTGCATGTAATCCAATACCCATATTACACTGGGAATTAGGCAGGAATACTGCATGCAAAGCCAGTATCCTTATTTATGAAAGAATGCTGAAGAAGTGGAGATACTGAAAAATAAACCATCAAAAATTAATTAAATCCTCATGAAAGTCACCCTGCTGGAATTCAGAATTTTACACAGCCTCCTCAAAAAGAAGACTGAGGGACAATTACCTGGTTTCAGTCATGACAGACAAACGCTGGATATTAAACAGCTGTTCTGACTTGGAGTAAAGCACAATAATAAAATGTTGATTAGGCTGGAACTGAAATCTGAAAAGATGAAAAGCAGGCCATTTTATAAACTTAACAGTGAAAGTGATTGATTTAAGGGAAGTGATAGACTACAAATATGTTCTAGGTGTCTCAAGCACATGCTTTTTTCTTTTCTAAAGGTTGTTTGAGTACAACACAAGTTACTAAATTTAGTAGAGGTAACTGAGGTAAACGTGAAGCCTTTTAGTTATACAGAGGGTCCGACTACAGGACTTCATGGATATTTTGTCCTTAAAATGTAGGCATTAAGATATTTCAAACTTACTTTAAGAGAAGTTTTCAAAGATAGGCAGTCCACCTACTAATGAGTCCCCTTATTCTTGGAATGAACTTTTAAGATACTGCATTACTTCTGAAAACACTAAATGGCTTTCTTCCACAGATACTATTACATTATCAGGTGATGAACGGGACTTCGGAAGACTGAACGTGAAGTTGTGTTATGTTTCTTCCGTAGAACAGATTTGGATCACAGTTTTACATGTAAGCAAATATAAATAACTTTATTATTTACTCAAATGGCTATTTTACTATACTTAGTGTCATTTCTTATTAAACTTGGCTCTGTTACTTTAAGGAATATTTTTAGGAGAAAAAGAAAATTACTTCTTAGCATTAATATAAACACAGCTCAGTGAAAAGTTATACTGGGCTTTATTCAAAGTATCTTTCTCTCCTTTGCTTTTTTTTTCTGTTGCAACCTCTGTTCTGCTGCAGTCGATAGCTAAAAAGTAGTATATAACTCTTTATGTTATTATATGTATGTTCTGATTGTGGAGTGAGGAACATAGATAGAATGTTCAGCATAGATAGAAAGCTGAACTTGTCATAGGCTGGTCCTGCTGTGAAAATTTGGAGGCAGCAAATTGGAGCAACTTTGGAGGCAGCATTTAACTGACTTAAAACCTAACAATTCCTTCATGGCAGAACCATAATAGCACTTTGAGGACATTTAGCTTCTTGTGGCTCTTTTGTTAGCTAATGTGATGCTGTTACGCTGTCTGTTTTATACACTTCCAGGAACTGTGAATAATTTTTAGGCAATGGAACTTTGAGTAGTCAGAAACCTGATAACTGCATCAAGTGATAAATACTACGTAAGGGATTTCATGATTTATCTGTTGTCAAATTGCCACATACTGAAATCATTAAAATCTACCAAATAACTTTTTACCCTCTGGTTGTGAAAATTAATTATTAAATGATCTGAAGTGACACAATCATTACACTGGCTCTGATTTATATTCAATATTACAGCAATTATGCATAATTCTAGAATAGTGTAGAAGACACAGTTTCTAAGTTGTCTGAAGGCCAGAGTCTTACATTGTCTAAACTGACTGTGTTTTCAATGTTGCAGTGCAAAGACCTGAGCTGGCCTTCTAGCTGTGGGGAAAATCCTCGTATCTCTGTCAAAGGAATTCTCACATTGCCCAAACCAGTGCATTTCAAATCTTCTGCTAAGGAAGGATGCAATGTAAGTAGAGGCAGAGAAAACACCAAGAAATCTTCTTCCCTAAAAAAATAAAAGTGAAATGTAAATGGATTTTTAAAATGGACCAAACATTGACTCCTATGCCATATTTGCTGGGGTAGTTGCCTAGGTTCAAGTTTCTTCTCCCACCTCCAGGCTTCTCAAAATCCTAGTAAAAGCCTTGTTCCACTTCCTCCCCGTATATCCTCTCTTGCACTGAACTGTTGTCCTCCTCCCAAGTGTGCAGGACAGGTGCTCTCACAGGGGACTGAACCATGAGCTGCTGGCCTTGGCAGCTCAGTGGTTAGAGACTGGAAGAAGACTGGTCATACCTGACCTGTGGGTGCACTGTCACCCCAGGGAAGATAGATGATCATGGAATCATAGAATGGTTGGGCTTGGAAGGGACCTTCAGAGATCACCTAGTCCAACCCTCCTGCCAAAGCAGGGTCACCCACAGCACATTGGACAGGAATGCACCCAGGCAGGTTTTGAATATCTCCAGAGGAGGAGACTCCACAACCTCTCCGGGCAGCCTGTTCCAGGGTCCGGCACCATCAAAGTAAAGAAGTTTGTCCTCGTGTTGAGATGGAATTTCCTATGTTCCAGTTGGTGCCTGTTGCCCCTTGTCCTGTCGCTGGGCACCACTGAGAAGAGCCTGACCCCATCCTCTTGACACCTGCCCTGTAGATATTTATAAGCATTGATGAGGTCCCCTCTCAGTCTCCAGGCTAAACAGATCCTGGTCTCTCAGCCTTTCCTCATAAGAGAGGTGCTCCAGTTCCTGCCTCTCACTAGGGCAGGAGGCAAAGTTCAAACTTCCTCTCTGCAGAAAGTAGTGAGATTTGGTTGCGTGGGATAAGACTCTGGATAGAGGCAGTAAAGGAATATTAAGGGGGTGGAAGGTAAAGCAACATAAACCCCCCATAAAGTGAGTCAACAGTGAAAGAAAATAAAATTAGCAGGAGAGACTGAAGCTAAAGGCCACAAGAGAATTTGGTATGGCAGTGTGTGTACGCTGTTGAAGAAGCTTCAGAACTTGCTATGGTAGTGAAAAATAATCCAGAGCTCTGTATCCACAATGAGGGGGGGCGCCTGTGGGGGCTTACTATTTTAAAAGCCCAGTTTTCCATGGCAACCTCAAGTGGTAACTGGGAGCAGTGGCTATAGGACCAGGAAGCCTTGGTTTCTAGGTTTTGGGCTTGGTGCGACTGTCTTCCAATGGTGATGTTACCCCTCTGTTTTTCTTTCTAGGACATTGAATTTATGGAAACTTTTGTATTTGCAATTAAACTGCAAAGCCTGCAGGCTGTGAGATTGGTATTTAAAATCCAGACACAGACTCCCAGGAAAAAAACAATTGGAGAGTGCTCCTTGGCACTGAGGGAGCTCAGCTCAGAGGAGTCAAGTCATTGGCTGGATATATCTCCTCCTTCCAAAGCACCTGTAAGTGCCAAGACTGCAAAAGCATGTTGTTATATCACCTAGAAAGAGTTGTTGAAATTGAAAGTAAAATAATTTGGTGCTAATTCAATGCTCACAACAAACAAAGGGTTTTCTTTTTCTTTTTTTTTAATTTTTTTTTTTTTTCCCCACTTTCTTGGGGAAAGGCATTTTGATGGGGGGAAAAAATGCACATAGCTGTTCTGGTCATAAACTGCAGCTGTTTCTGGGAAAAGAACTAAAGCAAGCTCTTCCACACCATGGCCCAGAGCTTGTTCTTTTTTTTTTTTTTTTAATTTTTTTTTTTTTTCCCCACTTTCTTGGGGAAAGGCATTTTGATGGGGGGAAAAAATGCACATAGCTGTTCTGGTCATAAACTGCAGCTGTTTCTGGGAAAAGAACTAAAGCAAGCTCTTCCACACCATGGCCCAGAGCTTGAGGGAGGGGCATTCTGGGGAAATGTTCAGCAAAAGACATTGCAGTAATTGCCTTTTCTGACCAAAAAAGCATCAGAAGATCCTTAGGATTCACAGCAAGAGCTCAGAGCAAATGGAATCTGCTTTTGTTATGAAAAAAAAAGTGCTAAGATCTTCAGTGGCTTGAAGCTGCAGAAATAGCTATATATTTAATGTTCCGCTTGCATGCTGTGAGGTAATAATTCAGGCAGTTCATTTCCATTAGTGTAAGAAAAAGCAGGTGGTTTTCACAGTGGGATTTTCTTTCCCCCTACGTGCACTTTGTTTGTTTCTTTTACAGATTGTGTCTAGACATTTGTATTTTCAACAAATTAAACTTGAATTAGCAATTCAAAAGCAAATCTCATCTAAGCATGTTTGAGTAATATGAGCGATACTCTTGATTTCTAACATGAGCTACACTTGACATTTTTTAGTTCTAACAAGAATAACCATATTGTTTCAAAAGCAATAAGATTAAGTGAAAGAGGAAGCTAATTTAGAAACTGCTTCATCCCAGTATAAATTCCTGAATCATCTCATAGTTTCTCTCTCTGCGTTGGCTTTCCTCACCATTGCACCCAAGAGCCCTCCAGACAGTGCTGGAATTCATCTCTGTACTGCCCTCTGAGGCAGCAAACCACCCGACTTGCCAACAGAGAGCCAAAGCTCAGAGTTGAGTAAGTGGCTCCCTCTCAGGGTTATACAGAAATTTTGTGGCTGAGCTGCAGAGAGAGTTTGGGTCTGTTCGATGAACTGGAGTCCGACTTCTCTTTATCTGACCTGTTGCTCTCTCGCTTGGTGCCTTTTGTTTCACTAACGTGCATTAAGACTTGAAGGGAACCAGGACTAGCAAAGTCCTTTTAAATGGAGGCTGTCAGGAAAGCTGAGTCTCCCCTGGCCTTCTCCTGCTGTTCCTACAGCATTCAGAGTACATTAGCATTTGATGGGAGAGTAACGAGGATGCCTCAATGCAACTTTGCCGCTAGAAAAAATCTTAAAAACCAATTCAGACGGGTGATCTGAGTACACTCAGAGTGTGTGAGGGGGTGTATGCATGTAGGCATGTAAAACACAAGCACTTCCATAACATGGGAAACTCCTCAGCATTCAGTCACCCTGAGCATTCATGACATTAAGTGATGGGGCCTTGTATATGTGGGAAGCTTTGCTTATATCTCCATGTTGCAAATTCAAAAGTGTGGGAGGAGAACCCTGAAGGTCTCTGTGTTAGTGGAGCACACCTGGTCTCTCACTTCCACTCTCAAGTTCAGTAGAGCTTCTGTCCGGTTTTCCCTGTATGTGCCTGTGCTTACCATTAAGGAATCTTTCCCAGGTGAAAACTGAGGACTCGTTTATTTGTCTGGTATCTCTGGCTGCAGCCCAGGAGGGCCAGATGCGCGCTGCACATAAGCAGTCCATCAGCAGAGCACATGTGCTGCAGCTACAACAAGTGCGAGATGCACCGAGTTGCTGTGCATCTGCAGGTTGTGTATACAACACACGCTTGTATTTCTGTCCAGGAAATCCCAGATAGAAATGTGAGAGCCCAACATATGACAGAATTCCTGTGTTTCCTGAGTTTAGAAGCAACTTAATCCAGATGTTATGGCAACATTCTTCTGTTTGTAGGTGTGCCGCGCAGAACTTCAAGTAGGAACTTGTTTTCAAGCAATAAACAGGAGGATTCAGTTACAGATTCTTGAAGCACAAAACCTTCCAGTTTCATCTACACTGCTCTCTTCAAGTAAGTTACATCAGCTGTCTCATGCCTCCTGTCTAAAAGTGTTTGTAACAGGTAAATTGCTGCTCAAACGGGTTGGCAATTCATGACATTCCTTACAAACCTCAGACTAACATATTGTGCAGTAGATTTCCATTGCCAAGGCTTGTTTCCACAGATGTCTTACTTGATTACTTTTTGTTTGGTTTGAAGCTGCATGTTTATGTATTTTGGAAGATTTTTATTCAAGTATTAATCCTGACATACAAGAGCATTAGCTTGCACTTGCTGTTTGGATCCTGTGTTAATCAATTCAATATTATTGAACATACTCTGTGACTTGTCAGAAAAGCCATTATACAGCTCTTTTGGCCAGACTTCTGGGAAATTGTTGCAATTTGAACTATACATGTGGATCTTGTCAGTTCGGTTTTGGGTGTGTTTGTGAGTAACCCTTTGTGTGCTGTGCCTTTTTCTCTCCCTTTTGTACTAGATTTCTTTGTGAAAGTTGGAATGTTTAGTACAGAAGGGCTGATCTATAAGAAGAAGACTCGTCTTCTGAAGTCCACTAATGGCCAAGTGAAGTGGGGAGAAACGATGATCTTTCCAGTTAGCCAAGCTGAACAAGGAATTAGCTTTCTCATCAAGCTCTACAGCAGAAGCTCAGTGAGAAGAAAACACTTCCTAGGACAGGTTGGTTTCTGCTAACTAGCATCATATCCTGTACTTAAATCCAGTTCCACAGGTTTCTTGCTATGAGTTTTAAAATACTTTAAATAAGCAAAATAGTAAATTCTAAGAAACTTTTCTGGATTTAATAAATGCAAGGAAGAACAGTACTGAGCTTTCAAACATGCACTAACGTCAGAATGGGAGTTGACATTTGATTTTTCTTTTAAAAATTCTTCAAGTCATTTTTGTGTGGGGTATAACTATGTGAAAGATTCCTCCCTCCAGACAGCTATAGGATCTCCTCCTTGCCTCTAGACTTTCTAAAGAAAACAAACATAGTGCTCACAGGAGCTCCAGAACCTACAGTGTACTGTACAGAAGGGGGGTGTTGGCGTACCATACCTATGCGCTTACAAACAGGTGCGGGTAAGACGAAGTATCAACAGCTACAACATCAGACTGCCTTCCTGAGTAAAACAATGCTGAAATTAGCACAATATTCTAAATATGTATGGTTAAGTGATAGCATGCGGGACAGCTGGAACTTCAGTAGTATCTCTTTGAAAGCATTTGTGTGATTATTTTTATTTAACCACCACAAAACTCGGTAGTCTGGTGCATTTTATTCTCTCTGTCCTCTTCCCCTGGTTGTTCTAATTTACCATCATCCTGTCCCTTTTTTCTCTCCTTTTCTTTTTGTATAGTGAGCCATATCTGTTCTTAATTCTCTGTGCTTTCCCTGACCCAGCTAGATTTACTAGCAGAATTTTAATATATACATAAATGAATAATTTAGAATAGATTTTGAGCCCCCCAACTGTAACGTCCCTTGTCAGATGAAGGGCTGTGCTACCCTTAGGTACGGAAAATGGTACTGTCTCATTCTGGTGATGTTTCTTGTGCCTGCTGAAGACGTGCAGTTTTAGGAGATGCTGATGTGCTACAGAAACGATGTGCCAGCAAGAGCTATGTGAAGTTCCTCTATTTTCTGGAGCCTTATGTCACACATGTTCCATCTTTCTGTGATTCCTGTTGGTGGAAGGATTTGGAATAGTAAAAGAAAAGAAAAAAATTGTTCTTTTTAGTGGCGCTACCTTGGGGCGAAAATAGCTGGGTATGATTTTGCAGTCATTTAGCAATATGTGAGGTCATCTCAATCTGACAAGTTGCATTTAATCATGGATCTTATTTTTAGGGGGAGGAAATGAGCTACTTCTGCTCCTCAGAGGTTGTTTGGAAAAGGTTGTTTCAGCTCACGCAGGCAGACATTGCCACATAACACATGAAGACATAAAATATGGCTCAGGGAAAAATGTACTTTGAGCAATTGGCTGGGTAGCTGGAAAAAGATGAATATAGCTGGATCTATTAACTTTGTTCTTCAGAGAATGATGTTTAATTGGATGCTGTTCTAAGCAGACAATACTTAGATTAGGCTGCTTTTATAGGCATGTCTTTAATCATGAGCAAGATGTATATTGAATCTCTGTGGATGAAACATCAGGTGTCTGTGGTTTTTTGGAAGACATGCTCACTTCTTGAGGACTTATGCTTCAGCAGTGCAGGCTAAATGTACCTCATGGTGAAGGTTTCTGAGAAGTCTTAAAAAGACTCATTCTTGGAAGAGCTAAGGAAATAGAGTCCTGTAAATAATGATACCTACTTACATAAGCAGAATCCATTTTGCAATGGAGGCTGGTGAGAATGTTCAGGGGGAAAATTTCCTACTCGTACCTCATTTCCTCATTTAGCGGCCGCTATCCATTAATTGAACACTGGGAAGAAGTGGACTCTTACTGCGTGACTATGTGTGGTATGGGCGTGTTAGTAACCTCTGTGGAATGCAGGTCTGGCCCTGTCTGTTGGAGCGTGCAATTTTAAGTGCTCGTGAACAGGCTGGACAGCTAGCTGGGGAGGCCAGATGGCTTCCAGCCAACTGGAGTTTGAACGCGTAGAGCCATCGCTGGCCCTCATGAGCCCTTGACCCCAGCACGTGCATGTGAAGGGAGCAAGGAATGCTTGACTTAAAGCAACGTATTAAGTAGAGAAACATTAGAAGGTAGTGAGCTCTTTAAACTATTTTAGAGGCTAAATTTAAACCCAGACTCCCTGTGTTCCCAGCTGAAAGCCAAAATACGTTAGTCCTAACAGAACTATATTTGTTGCTATTATGCTTTGGTCACAGTCTACACATTGTGTCTTGTTCTACACTTCCATGGTATTTATTTGGACATAATAAAGGCTGAGCCTCTGTGTTATATAAGGTAAACTCAATTTTGTTTTTCTGTTTGTTTCTTACTGCAGGTCTGGATAAGTTCTGATAGCAGTAACAGTGAAGCAGTAGAGCAGTGGAATGATACTATTGCCAACCCTGAAAAAGTTGTTGTTAAATGGTACAGTGTTGGTCCATCTTGAAGACTGGAGGTGAAACTCTGGACTGATTTTTCTACAAAGACTAAATATTATGAAGAGGAAGACTTAGGAACTGGGGAAAAATGCTCATTTGATTTTAAAAAATCCACCTTGAAAATTACATTTTTTGCCCCTGTCAGGCCCCATAAAAGCACAGAAATCCAATTTTGGAGAGAAGCAGCTTGAATCAGTGACTTCTTCGCGAGGCACTGATGTCATCCTCATCTGCAGTCTTGTCTCTGGCAGACTCCAAAGTCCATGGGAATCATTCCAGTCAGTGGCTTGATCCCGGGTACCTCTGACACCATTCGATGGCAGTAACGTGTGCCTGAGCAGGTGGGAAGGCCTGTGGCAGTAGAAAGCATAAAGGGAACCACGCAATAAGGCAGCACCTGAAGACTTTTCCAATCTCTGTCTTTGATGAAGGGTTGTTCGTTACCCTGACATGCCTGTAGCTTGGGTTCCCCCCATCCTTCTCTCTAACCAGAGAGACTGAAAGATAAAAGTCAGAGTTTCTCTCTCTGTGATCTTTGCAAGTGGAGGCCCTCCAGCCTTGCTTTGTTTGCATGAATTCTGGTTGGAATCAATGGAATAATACAAAGAGGCAACAGCCGTGCCTAGGATCAGAGCCAATATTTTCAGATAAATTACTTTCTTCTATAGAATTCTTATACGTAAACCACTTCCTATCTAATCAACAATGTTCTAGCATTTGCTTACATTGCTAAAAGCCAGACTAACATGTACAAAGGAGTAAGCAAATATTTACTGTCATAAGTGCTTTTTGATATTAATTAAAATGCAGCACATTAAAGGGACTCAGACATTGTTTAAAAGATGGGCTACTACTGCAGAAATATTTGTTGCATGTCTAGGATGCTGAAAAAACTATGTGTAGGAGTATATTTTTGTTACTTGTTTCTAGCAAGAAGAAATTACAGTATTTTTATTGCAAATTATATTTTTCCTACAAAATCCTAAGATTATTTTTTATATTAGTCCCCATATTTCCAGAGTTTTATTCACATTTATTTTTAAGGTGGGAAAATGCCATGTATATAATCAATAATACATACATCTAAAAGCACTCTTTGCACTACTTTAACTACTTGATATAAAATACATATCTATATTCCCTTAAATCCACTACTTACACATTTACTGTTGGCTGTCTGGACTGTACAAATATGTATGTTTGTATAGTCGCTGAATAATTGTATTTTTTTTTTATAACCTGGATCCCATTGAAACACCCGACGTGAACTAGAGTGGCAGCGGGAGCACTCGCTGCTGGAAGGCAAAGGATCAGTGGGGAGCAGAGAAAACACAGTAACAGGAAAGCACCTTGTATTTAAGCACAGAGCTTGGAGCACCTTTTTTTTTTTTTTTTACTTTAAGGGTTAAGAAAAGGGGTTTTTTGGCTTTAAGTGTTAAGAAAAAATGTAATCTCTTAGCTATTTTTTTTAATCTGCTGATAATTGAAGCTTTTAAAACTTCAACCATCCAGATTTTTGTGGTTGAAATTTAGTATTTTGAAAACGGGCAAACAAACGGATTTTCCCAGGCTCTTGCATGTTCTGCTTTATGATCAGTTTTTATAAATGAACTGAAGAAGTTTTTAGATGTTACTCAGAGAACAAACATCAGCTTCAGCTCGTACTGACGCTCTTTGCAAAGCTCCCAGTAGGCCCGGAGGATCTTGACTGACAGCATTAACTTCCAGCCAGATGGGACATCCCACTTGGGATGAGCCCGGCCTGTTGGGTGAAACAAAAAAGGGAACTGGACAGAGCTGATATTCTTGGAGCATCTTTACCTGAATACATGGATCTTTTTTATTCATTGTGGCTGAACTGTTCCCTTATGCAGAATGCTGCTCTGCTTGAAAGAGAGGAGCAGGAATATCCCAGTGTTTTGGAGGCTTTGATTACCACAGAAGTGGTTCTACAGAGATTACCAGCTCAGTGGAGACTGTGTAAAATCAACTTTTTGGGCTGTTTTAGGACACTTAGGCCTAACTGGTAATGTCTCCTTTTTCCTATGTTAATATTTATGTGTTTATAATAAAAGTTATGAACAGAAAATACTCCTCTTTTTTTCTTTTTTTTCCCCAATTGTTTATACCAATGTTTACTGGCATCTCAAACTGAGGTTCAAGTCCTAATGTGTGAGCTGACACAGGCAGGACACGGGAACAACCACAAAACCATGGATGAAATGCAAACTGTAAATTTAATAATTTAATCTCCGTGCCTGGTGGATCTGTGAAGCAGGACCCGGGCAGAGGCAGGCAGGCTCTGCAGAGCTCGGTCCTTGCTAGTCAGTGTTTTGAACCTGCCGTTCTCACCTGTGATGGGGGATTCCCACAGGTGCAGCTTCCCTCTGTGCTTTGATCTTCCCGACAGCAGAGCAGGAATCTCAAGAACGTTCGATAAGGTGCCTCTGACTCTATCACAGGCCTGTGTTATCTAAGCCCAGCTGTTCTACTCGCCAAGCACACAAGGCTAAACAATGATCAGTATGAGATACCTGGTTTTTGACACCTGAGCTGCAAGTCACCTGAGCATGTTTATAATCCTCCGTGCTGATCTTCCGTTATTTTCCCATACCCACCTTTTTCTCTGAGAAAATACTAACTAAGGAGTTACATTTCACGGAGTGTTGGATGTAGGGGAGGTGACCGCTAACACCCCGAGAAGGTATGTAAGGCTTCTCTCTGCACGACACGCATCGGTACTGCAGCACGCTGAAGAAAGTGCTCTGAGGCCTGGCTTCACCCTTGCTCATTCCCAGACTTTTGGCTTTTCTGCATCTGTGTGTGCATTCATGTAAGAATTCAATGAATTCTTAATAGTTGGCTAAATACACTGTGCTTTTTTCCTAGAAAACTGGAGCACTGAGGTATCTTGTTGCCCAGATCTGTTCCTCGATTTGTCCAGAGTACTACAGTGTTCTTGAGGAAAATTATTTATTTAAGGTTTGGAAAGAAGCCTTGTTGTACCTAGTGGGATAGAGAGGGAAACAGGGAATACTCATCTGCAATAAGATGAGCAAAAGAAACTTCTGTTGCACTGTTTTGGCTTTGGGGTCTGTTTGTTTGTTTGTGTTGTTTTTTTTTTAAATTGCTGTGTCCTACTTGTGTCCTAATTACTGGCTCCCAAGATCCTGGGAGGAAACCAGGAATTCTCTTTGCTTTCCCTACTGAGGAAAATCATCTAGAGATGGAGAGGGACCTGCCCAGCTTAAGAACCAAGAAGTGCCAGTTCATTGCATCACCATTTGCCTTGCCAGTTAGACCAAGGCTGTGCGTCATCCCCCGAAATAATAGTCCAGTCCTCACAATAATGGTGCTTCCGAGGATGCCTGCCAGGTAAGAGGGGTTGTCCAGAGGATTGCTCTCAGTGGGCTGGAAAATGAAACTGTTTTGGAGGATGGGGTCTGCCAGTGTGTTAACCACGTGAGGTTATCTGTGTAAGAGGTGTTGCAGAGGATGTACGGGAATGGAAAATGGCTGGAAGGAAAAGTCTGTGGATTATCTGCTTCCAAGCACCTGTTGAGAAGGCACTGGGGTGGGTGCACATGCACTGACTGAGTCCTGAAGAGAATTGTGAAAGATGGAAGAGCATTTGTGCTGTAGTACAATCAACCAGTTAGACAGACTTATTAGCTGCCACATAAAGCATTTTTCATTGATGATTCCTCGAGTCTGGAGCTTATCAGTATGGTTGCTGAAAAAAACCCAGGAGATACACGTTTTTACATGCAGGTTCCTAGCACAGGTCCCAAGGTAAAACTGCCTTTAAAGCTGGGTGTTCCAGCAAGTGTTATTTCAATCTGAATGTCTTATAAGGCCAGCTAGAAATCACCTGAGATGTCTTGCCTTTTAAGTGCAGAATATTTTTCTTTACTGCTTAGTGACTGCCTCACTATAAATGCATGTGAGACTTTGGCTTCTCCAAATTCAGCTCCTGGCTTATTTGAGACTAAGGCAGCCTTCCAGAAAAGGAAAATGATGCATCATTTCAAGACCAATCCACAATATAAATTAGCAAGGAACTTCATGTACTCCAGCATACGTGGAAGACTGAAAAAAGGTGTCTCGGGGCACTCTTCTAATGGTGACAGCTGTATGCTGTCCCTTTGATGCATGTTCAGCCACTATTTTGATTGTTACATCCAAGTTTACTGTATTGAAAATACTGTTACGAAAGCTGTTTTGTCAGTTCACTTAATTTGTAGCTATAATCACACATGGTTTATAGTTGGATTTGCTGTTACTTCTAGTTAGTGGCTCAGCTTCTTAACTTATAACAATTTTGATGAAAACAGCAGAGGTTCAGAAGGTGCACCAGTTTTATTTCAATCAAGTCCAAAATGGATGAAGGTGAACTGGCACAACAGTTACGATGTTACGTGTTATTCATGCAGAGATCTGTGCCCGCTTAGTTAGAAACCAACTATAGACTAAACTCAATCAGATTTTCCAGAATGTGTGTATATAATTTCACTGGTTAATCAAACAATTCTGCTTTATTTATGACTAATAGCATTCTGTATGTAAACGAGGCCCACAAATTTATTTTTGAGTCTTTATGTCTCAATGGCACGACATGGCATTCCTTTTAAGGAAAAAAAATATGTAAGATTCTGCCTCAAAAGCTGAGTGGGTGTAACAGTTTGTAAACCACATTATCATAAACTGTTACTTGGAAAATAATTGTATCTGAGTATCCGATCTTTTGTGATCACGACATAAATAGTGCCCTAATGCTAAACGCATTAGACATTCCCGGTTTGTTCTTTTGTTGGCAGGACATTTGTATAAAACAAAAGGTAATTTTGTAAGCATTCAATTAAGCACATATGCTTGACTTGAAAACCGTCTGCCCGATGGAGGTTGCTTTTTGAGTTATGAGTTGATTTTCCAGCCAAAGCATAAGGTTGTCTAGAAACCGGGGGCAGGATTGTCCCGCTTCTTACTTTTACCCTGCCAACATATATATGACATGGGAGGAAGGCTGCATAGTTGTGGAAAGCTTGGCATAAATCATGCTGGACATGATACACCCTCCTTGTTTTTCCAGCTTCTGCTGTAAAATTACATCACCATGTAAATACAGCCGTGTACATGATCTCATGCTCGGTGCATGGAAAAAGCCGTCACTGAAATCAGCACCATGTTCCACAAACACTGCTCCAGCAGACTCACATTCTTGTCTCCAGCTTGTGCTGAGGGACGGGCCATCGTCCCTCACAGTCCACGGCAAAACTCCCGCTGCCTTCAGCAGAAGCAACCAGTCTTCAGAGCTTTGTTAGGTATTTCAGCATTGTGATGGTATGATTTATCCAAAAAAAACCCCCAAAATACACACAGCTTAGGGGGGCTTCTATTTCTAAAATTGATAAAAAACTGTTCACAGTGATGTTTCTGTAGAAACTGAATTTCATTGAAAGTGGATCTGTGTCTCTTAAGCATAATGCAGTTCTTCCTATAGATTTCAGTGGCTTTGAAACAAATCCTCTATGCTGATTTCCTCTGTCTCTGACTGTGCAACTTTTCCCTCCTTTTATTTGCCTGTATGCTGCTCTTCTTCCTCAGCGTAAACGAGTCTTTAAATGATGTCTGCTTTTTGCAATTAACTTTCTGCTTTTCTAGGAATGCTTCCCTTCTTCCTCTAGTATTGGGACCAGTGTTACACATGTCCTACTTCTGCTGTTAAAGAAATGGATCCAAGCAGGAGGCATTCCATCCTGGGGCTTGGATCATGGCTGATGCTCTGCATTTCTGAGCTTCCTTTGCCTGCAGCTTTCCTGGTATGGTTCCTTTGGAGCTCCCTGAATTTCTGTGTTGTGTACCACCACTGAATACAACGAGACCAATCAGTTGTAACTTCTGGGTGTCTTTGCTTGCCTTTCTCCTCCTCCAAAAATTACCTTGGGAAATCATTTTGAGGGATGAGAAGGAGCAAGCTGCTCATGCTGACCCTGGAGGACAGTATCGTTATTTGACTGCCATTATCTGTGCTGTGAAACAAAGAGGAAGGCTCAAGGAAGAGTCATGAAAAGCTGCACCTCCAGGTGGAGGGAGGCTTCTACCTCCTATGTATATGATCTGGGAAACACTTCCCAGCCTGATGACTGGAATTCCTTGCCAGATGCACAAAGTGTGTGTGGGGGGGTCATCATATTGTATTTTTTATCCTTATCTTGCAAAACTCTTTGGAACTATGGAGCAGCTAAATCGGGAAATTTTCCGTAGGAGGAATGGTATGGTTCACAGATTTCTATGAAGCAGAGCACTGACTGAAAGATCTTGGGTGTCTTTGAAAGAAAGCCAGTCATAGGAATGTACTTGCTAGTTTTAAATATAGCCAAGCTTTGTCACTTGTCATAGGAGAGGAGTGAATTCTTAGTTTGTGATACAGAGCAGAAGAAGCAAATGGCAACCAAAACAGGGCTGGGTCTCCTCTTCATCGGTATTCGTTAGTCCTTCAAACACTGAGGTGGAACTCTATGTGCTGATCTGCACCTCTTCCTGCAGTAAGGACAGGTTTGGTGGGGGATTGTTAAGGGCAGGTAGTGAAGGAGGCAAAAGAAAAGCAGCACTTTTGTTTTGAAAAACATTGTTTTTCAAAGCAATGTATCGTGCCTGTAACTATTGACAAAGCTTTTATTTGACATGACTTACGACAGGTGATTACGCATTTAGGTATTTGCTTATGTTCTTTCAGTACTTCCCTGGCATGAGACTGGACTCATTCTCTTTGTATTTAAATAATGCTTCATTCCGCTGTGTTCATTAACCTTTGAGCTCTAGACCTAATTATGCTTGATTCGTCCTTCACGGTTGATTGACCTTGGTGTGCAAATCAGGGTAGACCTTCTTAAAGGTTTTTGCTGCACATCAGGTAGTTACAGTTTTTCTCCCAGGTGGATTCTCTGATTTGTAGTAAGAGCTGAGCTCATGACAGCGATTCCTTCACCTGGGAAACTGGGAGCTGGCTCTCCCTTGTCTACCCGAATGTTGTTGGGTTTTCTTGAAACCTGTGGGAACAGAATTATCTGTGACATCTCTTCCATCAGTCA